CCAGCCAAGTATGAAAACAATGTAACCTACTTTCTAATCTTACACATGGAAACAGAGCCTACAGTATTTTTGCATGTGAACTTAGCCTATTTAACAATTCACAAACATTTCTTAGACTACGAATGTGTTCCTTCACCATAATCACATAGTCATGGTTTCCTTAAACTCCACACTGAAAACAGCTGTGGACTACAGCATGTGACTGCGGTGTAAGGAGATTTCCTAGCTTATGTTTTGCTAGAATGCTTGCTGGAAAATACAAGAGGAGATATTTATTGTTTTCCTTGTGTTTCACATACCACAGCAAAAAAAAAAAAAGTTTTAATTAGTTTAATTAAAGCCCTACCAACAAGGCAGATAAAAATATCTTAGTCTTGGGTAGCTTAATTAGCAGCAATGGAACTATTCAAATGCTTAATGTTATTTATAAGTTTATGACCAGATCAGAACATGAGCATATTTGCAATGGCTCACTGTACACAATGCATGATTTGCCTTTTAGGCAATGGATTATTTCCCTCCAGTTACGTTGCAAGCAGGCAGAAAAGTAGACTAGACTGGCATGAATGAAAAATGCTTCAGCATTAAAAAGTAATGTAGTTACTCTAGATGGCTTTCCTCCATCATGACAAGGGATAGTTCCCACGTCAACCAATTCCCTGTCATTTACCTGCTCTTCCAATTCTCCAGGAGACAAACCCACACAAAACACTTTGCTCTCAGAACAAATAAGACGTTGCAAAATGGAGAGATGAATAACTTTAGGCAGTTGATAGATGCTCTTTCAAACCCATCTGTGGCAACAAGCGCTTTAGCACTATGGTCGGAAGAGCTCTCAAGCCTCAAGATTTCCCTTGCACAGAAGTGACAGTTAAGTCAGTGATGATTAGATACCTACTCTGCTTAAAGAGCTGCAAAAGCCACTAGCCAGCTCTTTCTGTATGAAAGTGTCTAAATGCGCCTGAGTCTTTACATGTTTTGTGAAAAATGCAGCCTTTCACATCAACCACTCAGTTCTGAAACAGGCACAATTCCCAGTGGCTTTCAGAAGATTTTCTTAAGTAGGAAAACTGCTAGACAGTCTCCCTACCAGCTGAGGCACTGACACAGCCTTGCAACTGCCTATTGATTGCATCATTAATAAAGGAATTTTAGCTTCTTGGGAGTTATGCAAAATTGTCACCAGGGTACAGTGAAGAGGGTCTTCATTTGATAAACCAGTCTCTGGCTAGCATTTCTAGAGGTATTTTCAATTTTTACTAGGGAGAGGAAAGAGAGGAGAAGGCACAAGACTGCTATAGCGCTTTGCTGCTATTTTGATTCCTGCCCAGATGAGTATGACTAGTAATGCCCCTCCCAAGAAACACAGAAATGTCATTTTCATTGCTATTAATTTTCACTAGTATCAGTGGTACCAAAGGCATGAGCTACCACTACAGCCTGCTTTACAGGTGCTAATTCAACCCATGCTAAGGTGAATACCAAGGCTAAAGGAGGCGGGAATAACCCCCTCCAACTCCTCTATTCCTGCAGGGAAAGGACAAGCTTCTGCAGCATCACAGCTCCTCTGGTGGGAAGCTGCTGCTCTGAACACTCCCATCAATCCCTCTCCAGAGCCTACAGCTTCTGAGGCCATACTCAAGTTCTGTTATTACAAGGCAATCTTGTTGGACATATGTTTGCATGGAACATTACTGGTTTTATTCCTGAAAACCTGCACTCAGTCTCTCTCGTGCAGTATTCTCATTTTAGTCAGGAGATCCTTTAAACATGACATTTTCAGGATTTGGCCCAAAGGCAAGTCAATGTTCTGCCTTAAAGGTTTAACAATTAAAATGCACACTGTAGAGAAATACGCTTTGTCACTAATGGGAAAGCAAATATTTTCATTGATATAATTAATTATCAGTCAAAATTCTTGGCTTAAGGGCCTCAGGATATCTTGTTGTGCTGCAATAATAGGGCGTATGAATCAATAGTTATGATTTACTTTAATACCTAGTGTAAGTTTTACACAGCACATAGGGTACTTACGAAGGTTTGATATAATTCAATATCTTTCTCTAGGTTTACTCAATGGAAGAAATTTTTGTCAATTAAACCGGTGCCATCATACTGAAGTCTATAGGTTGAATGTGTAAAAGGACATTTGGGCTCACTGATACCAGTGTAGTTACAAACACAGAGAAGTCCCTCAGTAAGCACTATCATATAAATTACACCTACAAATACAACAACACTGCTATTTCAACTTTTTTCTAGAATATTAGAGAGCATAAACACCCTGCTTCAGAACATCCCTCTGCAAATTTTTTTCTCGTTTTTCCCCATTTTGTATTAATGAGATTTACCATGCTTGACCATAAGATCTGGAAAAATAAAGGAAGAAACACGTAGTAATGCAGTGAGCTCGTTTTTCTTTAAATACAGGACAAAGTCTTCCCTCACACACCCCTTCATAGTCATTCACCTCTATATTTTTCTCCTGTATTTTTAAGACCTAGTCATAAAACCTGGTACAGAATGATTGAAGGCACGGACAGTTGTCAGTATTAGCAGTGCTACAGTCTGTCACACCAAGAATAACCAGTTGTTTGTAGAGTAATGGCAGAACACGCACCATGTGCTAGGAGCAAAATAAAAATAACTAGATCCACCTCAGTGCCTCTTCCAGCTGTTTGTACAAACCTATCCTGACCTTACCGAGGCAGAGGAAAGGGAAACGTGCCTTTGATTGCAATACAATTCGTGTTTCACTCCTCTCGCCTGTTTCTTCTCAGAGGCTGTTGCTATCTATGTTACACAAATCGTATTTTCTTTTGATCTTTCTGTGCTTCTTTCCAGTGTTAGCTTCTTTTTACTTATGGCTAAACCACAGTTGTTTACCATATACAAAAAATTCCAGTTAATTATCTTGGAGTCCCCAGTGTACATATGGTTTAGAAATGAGGGTCTATCTTAGGCCCATCTTTCATTTAAACAAACGCACGCACATATATATGCACATCTGAATAGAAAATAACAGCACGTCACAGATTTGCTGAGGAGCGTGCGGTAGTACCCTTACTGTTCTTATCGAGTGTAACTCAAGAACGGCTTTTGAAAAGTTCAAAAGAAAAGCAGCAAACTGTTGTTTTAATGAGAAGCCATTAAGCAGAACTTTGTTCATAGCTCTCCCAGACCATTGTTTTCATTAGCGGGCTACGTGGATAACAGCAAAGTTATTTGGACCATGCTCGTTGGCTGGGTACATGGTCCCGCTCTGCAAGAGTGCTTTCTGTTAGATGTTCACTCCAGCACTGCTCTTATCTGTTCTGTGAGGGGAACAAAACACTGATGCAAATGAATGGAAATTTTGTGGCTGGCCAACAAAGGGGCTTTCCCAGGCCGACTCAGAACAAAGGGTTCAATTTAGTTATTAAATCAAAAGGCTAAAAGGCATGCTCTTTCAATATCTTCCTAATGTGAGTAGTCCTTACTGTGACATACAATGCTGTGGTTTCACTGGATTCACAATGGATTTACCTGTTAAAGATTTATCACGAGTAAAGATTTGCAGAGCAGATCATAAATATACTGCAGCATAAAAATATTCCAAAATGTAAACTTACATATTAGTTGGAAGCATTCATTTCTAAGTTACTTAACAGCGACTCTGAGAAACTGTTGAACAATTCATCGACACTGTTTTGTGCACAGAAAAGCTAGACTGTGCGTCAGTTTTTCTAAGACACCACATCCACTCATCTCTGCACAGACCAAAGTCATGGTGCGAAAAAGTCCATCTTATATATCCCAAATGAAACTTTTCCAAAGCTGAAATGATCTACTTTTGTAGCTTAACCAAGTTTATAAGCATTTAAGTCATTAGACACATTTGCAAACCTAAAGAGATGTTAAAAGCCATTACTGCATACAGGAAAGGCCGCGGTACAGAACTCTGTAAACCTGCCTTTTCTGCGTGTGCTGAGCAGTACCAGTTTCCGTTTCAGAGCTAAGTCTCCAGTGCAGAAGGAACCACAGAACAGGGCACTCAGAACGAACACCACAGAGAGAACAAACGAGATTACTTATCGATCCTGAGCTGCCTTCGCTCTGTAATTATGGCTGCAACAGCGCTTACATGGCAGCTGCTCCCAAACCTATTCTAGCAAATGACCTAAGTACATTTAAGTTCAGTGCATGCATTGTGCCATGGATCCTGATGGGTTTATCGATTATAGATTTTGCCCTAAATGAGGGACTTCAGGAGCCCTGTGCTTTGAGCGTTAGGCTGCTAGCTGCAAAACAGAAAAGGGCTCTCAGATTTTCAGCCAACCCCCCAGCTGAGGGAGGTGGTGAATCTGTACCACCTACCGTCAGCTCTCGCGTCAGGGTGCCAAATCACTCCTCCGCAGGTAGCTGCTGGATGCCTTCCCACTGATCGCGCAGAAGATGCACACCTCAGACTTTTTGTTCTCTGCATTCTGCCCGAGTCGAGGCCAAAGGAGACGCTGAAAGTGACTGATACAACTTTTGCCATCTTTGGGAAGAATTAAACTTGACCTTGCCCCCGGCAGAGCGCAAGCGCACCAGGTTGCATTTGCAGGTGCAGGGCTCACATTGGCAGGCGGCACCTCACCAGCATGCACACATCAAACCACGGTAGCCCATACCACCACCCCTAAAATGCACAGTTGTGGTTAGAGTACAGTGATGCTTCATTTGCCGTCTTTTAGAGAACTGCTGAATTCAAGGAGAGGAGGTGAGGAAAGGGACAGTTTAACAAGGTTATTCAGGAAAAGTCTTGTTTTCAAGATTCAGAGAATTCATATTTGTTTTCTGAAGTGAGTTATTTCAAACCAAAAAAACCCAAACTGTGTTAAGGAAGTTAAAACCCTACCCAAGAGTCTGCAAGAAACCGTACTACGGAAAGTAGTTAATGAGGACTCTAAAAGCAGAGTTAACAAGCAGCATGAGCAAGAAGAAATATTTTAAAAAATTCTGCTTTTTTCTAACAGTTCTGGGAATAACATATCGGCAAAAGGAACAACGATGATGATGACAACAATAACAAGAAAAGGCAAGAACCAGATTCTGCTGCGTGACTGGCCTAAATCCATAACCAGGACCACCGGCTTCTAGGGACAGTTTGTTCCAAAAAACACTACTTGTATGAATCAAGCTTCCACAGTTACTTTCTATATAAGCGTTGCCATAAGTGGTATTTCAAGGGAGGAAGACATATGTATGCTTTCATGCTTGAAAAGTGTACCACGTATTCTGCATGCACACCTCGAAACCTGTGCACATATTTACTGATGATACCATTTTAAAAATTCCTTCCCTTATCTAGGTGTGTGTGCATAAACATAGAGCAGGGATATAACACAGGACAATACTGCTGTATGACAAACAAAATATAACGTGCAACTTCGTGATTTGCAAATATTGTTATAATTATACTTACAATTTCTATTGAGAGGCAGCAGCAAAACCTGTTACAGACAAGACCTGCACTCCTCTAAGCAAAGTAGAATAGGACTTCCAGCATAAATGCCAGAAGGGTCCAAATGTAGCTGTGTAGTGGATTTGCAAAGAGCTGAATGAGGCCCAAAGTCTTTTAGGATATGTCAACAAATCAAATTTAAAACACTGCTATTCCAACAGAGGATCTGTATGTACTTATATACTGCACGTTGGTATACCTGCCATGTAAGAATTGGGTTAAGTTGACATAGTTAGGAAACTCTTCATTTAAATTTCATTTGCTTCCCTCTTTTGAAAACAGCTTACTATTTTCTTTTTTTCTTTTATGGTCCACCAAATTACATGTGACCAAATGTACCTATTTAGTGAAAATGGGTTCCATTAGTATGTAATCTTATCCTTGCATTGTTTTCTTCTGAAGGAAAATAATGGAGAACAGGTGGTGATGCTTAGCATCAGGCTCCTGTTTCTAGAATTACAATCTACTGGGAGCCACCAGCAATCTCTGAAAGCTGTCATAAGCGCTCGGGAACTGGTATGATCCAGAGCACACTCAATACATTAAAGCTTCTTTTTGAAAATTTAAGTAGGTGTGACAGGAGAAAACTGGCTGAATGGCGCAGGGATTCTAAAGTGTCCCTGTAAAGGGTCGTGATTTCCTTCTGCATCCCACAATAAATAACTCAAGCTGGCCTCCACTTCCACAGCAGAAATTAGACATTTAAAAAATTCAAAGAGGTACCATATGCACTATAAACCTCTCTGGTTTAGTGTTCAAATGCTGCTGCGTTCACGTTGCTGGAAAATATGGGATTTAGATTCTGCTAGAAGGACGTTTAAAAAAAAAATCCTTTACGCTTATTTATCCTTTTCTCAGTGCCACAAAAACAACTATGTAGAGTAGCAGTTCCTTGATTTGATTTTAACATCTATTGATGTCACACTGCACAAATAGATTTATCCTGTTGGTCACAACACTGCATGATAACTGGACATTTCTTTGTTTTATCAATCTTATCCCTTATCTTACCAAGCAGGAAGATGATTAGGAAAAATTCTACTTAAGCGATGACTGCATTTTCCAGTATGCTCTCATGTACTGAATATGTGCAAACAACACCAGCTAGACAGATGTAGACAAGCAAATAAGCATTACAACCATGTTTTAAAATTTGTCTCCAAACCTCAGGAATAAGACAAAGACAATACACGTTTGCAGGGCAATTTCAACTAACGTATAATTTTACAAAAATGGTCATTAAAGTCTGGCTGAGATCCCTAATTACTATTCTGTGTCAGATCTGCCATGATAAATACTTTTTGTGGCACTGTAGTTGAAGAATGATAGGAATTAAAAAAAGATAACGCTATTTGCAGGGCCAGATTTTCTGTTGGTGGAAACTGGCAGCGTTGCATCGATTTCAACAGGAATACGTCAAGTTACACCAAGTAGTTAGATCGTACTTTGCATTCCAGGCTTTTTGCATAGCCATCCAAGACCAGTGTCATATTTATTTTTTCACCATCATTATTTCTTTTGGGACACCTTAGTCAAAGTCAAAGTGGTCACTGAAAGTTGGAATCATTTGAAGCGAGGCCCACTTCAACAGGCTTTGGGCCGGGGTATCTGTATTTTAGCCATCTCTAGTTCTCATGTGTGTTAGCTTTACTCGAAAACAGCCTCTGAAGGAGCCAGTGTGCTGAGCTCCAATTCTGTAGAAATCATATTCTGATTCAACAGTGCTCAGGAAATTATTTTCCTGCTTCTGTTTTTTCTCAAAGTCTTAATGCAGAGAGAATCCTCAGTTCTCCTTGTCAGGGGCTCTTCACTTGAAGCCCTGTGGCTATGACAAAAGACAATTACAGGGTGCCCATTGTTTTGGAGATACTACACAAGGAACTCCACCTTACAAAAGCAAGAAAAGCACGGCCAACAAAACTGGAAGAGATGCCGAGAAACAAAAGTACTGGGGGAAGGAAGAGGTCAAATAGTTTTTTCCACTTGGCTTTGAAAGGCATCACGATATAACTACAAAGCTTTTCTCCTTAAACCTTTTTTTCCAGGATAAAAAAATTCAACTGCTGTCACAGCTCTCTTTAATCTAATAAGTGCTATTTTCTGCTACAAAAATTCTTAGTCCTAATTAGTCTGTCTACTTGAAATCAGGCTGCTGAAGCAAGTGATTATGTTAAAACGTCCCATCCAGACCTACTCAGTCAGCTCCTAACTACATTTAGAAACAGCTAGATTCTGAATTTTCTTAATGGAGTAAATATTTCCTCACTTAGGACTCCTGTTACCAGGATCCAACTAAAATAACTGAAAAGCCTTCTAAATTGTGCATCAGCAGCAAAATCGTTGATCAAAGGACAAACACCGAAATTTTGTTACTGGTGATGATGAGTGATCCAGAAAACGTGCATAGCTTAGTCCCAGGAAAGGTTTCATCTCCAGCAGTTAGAAGCCTCATCATCGTCCTACTCATGAACTAACTGAATTTATCCATTGAGAAACGATACACATGAAAGCCCATTATGTCATTTTCAAAGAAAACTGATTCAGAATAATTTTACTTTAATTCCAAAGTTCAAACTTATCTTCAACAGATATTTAGAAAATAAGAAGTATTATGCTTTTATCAGTGAATAAGATTTAACAATCAAATTTGGAATCATAGAACAATTTAGGCTGGAAGAGAACTAGCTTCTAGAAGTCTTTTCTCCAACAAGAACTGAAGATTTAGTGTCTTTATCCAAACATCTCAGGAATATGTTCTTTTATGACACTTTTCCTTTTTCCTGGGAATAGAAATTGCAAAAACAAAGTTCCAAAGAGTACCAAAGACTATTCATAACAACTAGAAGCTAAATTATAACCGGCCTGTTTAGTCCACATATCACAGTTAGTAATAGTGTATGTGCACATGTGCACGACTGTAGTTTTAAGTTAAAACTTAAGATAAAACGTAAAAAACCAACCAACCAAGCAAATAACAACAACAACAACAACAAATACAGTTGCAAAATAAGGCAAGTTAGTATAGTGGAAAAGCCATAGATGTTCTCTATATAGTACCGTGCCTAGAATTATTTGTTCTCTAGCTATAATACTTAAATGATTTTACAGCTAGAAATGCTTTAGTCACTTTTTGTAAATCATTTTCCACAGTCTGACTGATCATTTGCTAAGTCTAATAGCAACACAGTCTATTGCAACATAAATTCACCCTAGCCCGGAGCATGAAGATATTAGATTTAGCTCTTAATAAATTCCACAAACTTACAAATATTGTCTTGCTGAGATTTTTTTTTTTTTTTAATATATGTGCTATAGATTGATATTCCTTTGAATTCAGAGGGCTTACACAGGTGGAACAAAATCAATGCAATTCAGGGAGAATGAGGTTTTCCAAGTTATAATATTTTACATTGATTTTTATTTTTAGTTTAAAAAAAAAAAAAACTTTAGATACTAGCTTTCAAGTATACATGGCTGCTTGAAGAGATGGCAGAGATATACCACTGCTTTTTAATAGGATAATTATCCGTTAGGTTTGTTTTTACAAATGGAAAAAAACGCTGTACGCTTCTTTCTTTTCCTTATAGTGGAATAAAATATGAGGCATAATAATAATGAGTTCAGCTCCACGGCAGAAGCAAATGCTTTTCCTCACGAAAGGAGACTATCAAGGCAATAACGGGGCACCTAACGAAGTAACAGCTATATTAGGACAAAAGATATGCAGGGAACAGAATACTTGATTTCTGTGAAAATCTCGCTTTGTGCTCGACTTTTTGTTGCAATCGGTGCATAATGATTTCCCCATGTTCCTTCAAAGAAACCTTCAATTTCAAAATGTTGTGTTGCCAAGCAAAGCGGTCCTGAATTGCGTTGTTCTGAACTAGCTCAGAGACCCTACGTTAACATATACATATTATAAGAAGGGGAGTTCACGGTGCCATGATTTCAACAGTCCGCTGATAAACAAACTGTTTACTTTTTGCCTGGACTGCATTTTTCCATGTGCAGATCATTGTATATCACCTTGTGGCAACACAGTTTGTAAACAAACTGCACTGCCCTACATTTGACACTGCTGTTCACCCTTCTCAGTTTGCAAAATCTGGATCCAATTTTCAAATGAAAGACCATTTGCTGAACATTTATTTTTACTGTGGAATTACTTTACCCATGTTTGGTGAATAGGCTCTTTTCAACTTCGGAGGTTATTTATTTATGTTTTTATTCTCTTCAAAATGTTGGTGGAAAATGTTTGTCTGCCAGGGGGGCACCACATGCTTCTGATCTGACTGATTTCTACTGCTGAAAAAGCACCCGGTCAGCAAGTATGCCTGTCTTGCAAATACAAACACCAGGATAAATGATCTTAAGTATCTAAATGAACTGGGAATCACTGCTCCAGTTTCAAAAGCCTCAGATGAGTTGAGTTCCCAACTAATTCAGAGTCCGGGGAACTGAGATTTCTCTACGCTTAAGATTTACTAGCGTGAACAATATAGTATCACGAAGACAGATGAGCTAGAACTAACCATGCCAGCATGAAAGCCGAGAAGGACGGAAAAAGAACGCAGGAGTAACCTGCTGCTAAAAGAGCAAATGCAGGTCCGCAAAGCAAATATTTTTCCTATCTGCAATAAATTGTAATATAGGAGAAAGCTTCTGCTTAGAATCTGTAAAAACTGAATATTACACGTTTTTTTCATTGAAGGATTAAAAAGAAAAAAAAATGGAGCAAGGCCCAGTGAAATCTTGCAGTTTCCATTACATTTTTTTTCCTGTTTCTTCTTAAGAACTTTGGGCACTCATTAAGTTCTGATTTTTCCAGGAATACTGGAACCAGAATATTCTGTCAAAAAACAGAGTTCCAAAAGTGGAAAAAATGTTAGGTTTGGATCTTTTAAAACCAAACATCTCCAAGGCAAGTTTAGAAAAACTACTGTTTAGAGGAATATCTATTTCAAAAGTATCATTGTCAACCAGTGCACTTCCTATTAAACTTTATGACATTTAACACCATTCTGTGTTAATTTCATCTGGGTCTTCCTTCTCTGAAAATACTGTTTCCCATTGTGTAAATTTTTGGATTGGTCATCTGTGTAATCATCCTCCAAATATTTCAGCTCCTGAAAATATCATTTATCTCAGAGAAGAGCATTTCCATATAATGGGGAAATTCAGGTTGTATACCATGACTGGTTTTTGGAATCAGTGCCACAGAAACTTACTATAACTGAGCACTCAGTAGACTAAGCATTAGTCTAAAAAAGATGAGCTTCCACTAATAGGTGGATCAAGTGGCCCATTTACACTTTTGAACGAGATGGTCCCCTGTTGGATACGGCCCTTAGAGCAAGCTCCAATGCGTTCAGTTTAACTTACAGCCACATATGAACGGACCTTCTTAGAAGGACAATCTCTGCTGTTTCTCTACTACTTTGTGTACTTCCGCCAGAAGGGTTTGCATGACTCAGTTGTTCTTTTATTCCAGTTTAATTTCTGCATTAGCTAATAATACAACACTTTGCAGGTAATAAATAATTCTAACTATGTAGGAAGACTTCCTGAGTCACAAGAAAAAAATTGGATAAGCCTGGATAGACATCCATTTGGGGAAAAGGAGAGGTGGGGTTCTGCTCAAAGTCCAGGGAATTTTAATGCCTATTTCCTACTGCAAATTCTACATCATAAAAACAGTTTCTAAATAGTCAGTGAAAATCTTACTGTTTTAAAAATTATGTAACTAAGTCGTCGAATCCTATCTAAGCTAAGACATGACATCAAAAAAACATCCAAAACCCAAAGCCTACATAGCTCTCACCAGTGCATTTCTATCAGCAATAGCAATGCTGCAATGACAGGCTGCAAAGAGCAAATCGGTGTTTTTATGACCATGTCACACAGACCTCTGTTGACTTGGGTGCCTTGACAGCGTGCAAGCTAGAAAGGACTTGCAAGCTTCTCCATGCACAAGCCCATCAATATATAAGAAGATAAATTATTGTTTTATTAGATCCCTAGTACTGACCCTATGTTTTTCTTGAACACATTTCTGCAACCTTGGTCCATGTACTCTAATTTTATAATTTATTTGGCAACAATTCTGTGCTTTTAAGTACACCATTTTGCAAAAGCATAGTACCACTGTCCTGGTGGACTTTTTGATTTTTTTCTAATCTGCTCAAATATATCAGAATTGATATAAAAACTGACTAGATCTCTGACCCAAAAGCTGAGGCTTTCTCAGCATCCCCCCACCTCCACAAGTAATCATCTCCCATTTCTGAGTCCTCCTTATTTCTCCCTGCCATGGCAGAAACACGCCAAGTGTAAACAGCTATGGGCTGCACTGCTGTTCTCCAACCTGCCTCTGCTGCATGCTTTTATTTGGTCCCTCACTGTGTTCCCTCCAGCCAGGCAGCTGGCACAGGGCCCGTCTTAGCAATGCTTTCCTGCAGGGCAGCCAGGGATAACCTTAGCGTTTCACAGCTTGTATTCTCATGCCGTTGAGCTATTTGCTATTCAGTCAACAATAATATCACTTAAAAGTAATGGGTTTTGTTACTGAGAAGTCTTGTAAGAGTACTGATACGCGACCAAAATGTAAACAGTAAGTGCCTACAATTAGACTAAATATGTGTCTAGATAGGTAGATAAGTGGGTTGACTTTCAAGTGACAAAGCACCCAGAACCTCCCCGTTACAGCCTGTGGGAACTGCTGGCAGTCCAATTTGAAAAATCAAGCTGCTTATCTAAAACTGTAAAAGAGACCCAACAGCTCCAAATTAGCCTAAAAAAATCCAACCAAACAAAACAAAACAAAATCTTGTGGTGTTGGTAAATACTATATCGCATGCCTGTTAAAAAAGTAAACACACTGGATGCTTTGCTCAGATAATCAAAACGCCGTACAAAACCAGCAGAATAAGCAAGCATACACCATTAGTTGGGATTTTTTCCCAGCTAATTTAGTATTAAAATCAGAGATTTTTAACCAGTAGCCAAAATCAAGATGGCAAGTTCCTTCCTATCCCTGCTTTAAAGTAGGGAGCAGAGTGGAGTCAATCACATTCATCGAAAATCATGTACTACGTTAGCCACAAATGTTACAAAAATCCTCAGGTCAGTGAACCAGTCACAAGACATCACACCTGGCTCTTAAGCCGAGACCCTCGGAGCACGCTGGCTGGGCAGCACGCTCTCCCTGGCGCCCAGGTTGCTGGGAATCCAGGTTGGGCTGTCAAAGCAAGCTGGAAGGGGAAGGAAAGCAACAAAACCTGTGATGCTCATCAGATTGCCAAAAAGTTCTGAATTCTGTCCCACTGTCAGCCTGGTTTATGAAGAGGATGTTTTCTAGTTTACCTGTTTTACTTGCACACACTCTTATCCCATCTTCCCTTAAAACTTCCCGTGGACTCTGCTGAGCTCTAGAGGCTGGCTCCTCTTGAAAGTAGTTAGCTGTACTGGCAAGAAACAAATTTCTCAGCAAATTTCTGCACACTTAACAGCTGGAAAACAACCACAGGTCTGAAAGTCTGCGAGTAGAATGTGCAAAATGGGGAAATAAGGGAGTTTGTTTATTTTTAACATATGTATTAACCATGGCTCTAAACTGGTTGGGAGGTTGCAGCTGGAAGAGGAGAGCATAGGGGATTTTTTTTTTTTTTTTAACTGAATACATTCATGAAATCAGAACTGGTAACAGGAGACTGCAGTTAGGGAGAGGGGCAGAGGGAACACAATGTCTTCAGACTGTGCAAAGTCCCACTCTTGGCCTGATGCTGGAGAGAGATCCAGTGAAGTCAGCATCAATGGGGGGAAAGATCCTCCAATGCTTCTAATGCAGTGACTTTTATATGCAGTGAATTTTATTTCAGCTCCCTTAAATCTGTAGTCAAACACATTAGAAAGATAAAGTGGGAGACTCTTGGGTTGTTTGACTGTAATCTTTGTTCCTGGCTGCCTGCATCTGTTTGCAGATGGGCCCAACCAACCCAGTACCTCCCGGGTGTGCAAGCGGTTTCCACCAAAACTGTTGCAACTTCAGGGGTGTGGGACTTTGCAGAAAGCTTTAAGGTTGTTGTAAAAGCAGAAGCGATAAAGAAATATAAATTGCACTAGTAAAGTATTCTATTAATGCGTCAATGAAATACAGAGTGTATTTAATATATTTAAATATATATGATAAAAATCTCAGTTTTGTCTCCCCATGTCATGTATTTTCATCAGATTGGAAAATATTTCATCAAGAAGCAGTGGGAAGTATTAACTGCTTCTATTATGAATTTATGAGGAAGTGATACTTATTCTGCTGCTGGGTCCAATTTTGCTATGGAAAATTCTGCCTTGAAAGATAATTGGGCATACAAAAGGGTTGAAAGATCTCAGCAGAAAAGAGAAGGTGGATTCTGACAGCAAATGTAAGTCAATTCACTACAAAATTACAGGATGTACTTATGAAACTTCTATAACATACAAAGATACTCAGCTCTACGTGTAATCACACTTTGGAATGGAATATTTTACTCCTGAGCACATGAGAGCTAGAGGAAGTAGCAAAAGGGAAAAAAAAAACAACACATACCAAAAAACAAAACTGTCCTCATTCTGAGTGATGAATGACTTGAAAATCTGAACCCTTTTTGGAAGTACTTGCTTCCTATAGCTGACTAAATGGTAGCAAAATTCTTTGAAAAGTCTACCCCCACTTGTGTGTGCTACATACTTTGTAAATCTCTCCTAAGCCTCTTTGTCCATTCCTTTGTTTTTCCATTTCCCTTTCATTATAGTCATGTTTTCCATGAACTACAGTGATCTCTCTGGAATATTTAACATGTAGTCTAGAAGTCTCTCTAGATAACAAACCCAAGCTGAAGTTCAGGTTCAGGAGGGTATTCACTGATTTCAGTGGGCATTGGAGAGGATATGAAAACCAGTGCCTGCAATCCTAGATCCAAAGCGCCAGTCTGATAAAGTACTTAAACATTTGCTTAGCTAAAAATTATATATACACGTCCTAACTGAGGGAAATGACGACAGGAATTCTGACATGGAACCACAGGCTTAACTTTCTTCATGGACAGCAGTGGCAAGCCATTTTAGGTTATGATATTGATAACAACAATTAAGTATGATAAATTACATAGGAACATAAAAGTTGCCATAGTGGATCAGAGCAAAGCAGCCAGGCAGTGTTCTGCTAGTTGCAAATACTCAGAAGAGTAAAAAAACTACAGGCTGATTTTTTCCCCTCATACATTCTCCCAGCTTCAGCAAACAGCAGCTTAGAGACATCAGGAGCTTTAGTACTGTTTAGTAACTACCAGTACACTCTATCGTCTGCACCCTTGTCTCATCCTTATTTGAACGGTTTTATATATGGCTCCCACAGCATCATGCAGCAATGAGTTATACAATATGAAAAAGTAGTTTGTTTTGTTCTCAATTCCTCATATTCTACCTGGCCTTTTTTCCCCCTTCTCTGCTGCTGCTTCAACACTGACTGATAGTTATAGTGACTTTAATTTAGAAATTATCAGTGCAGGTGCCTAACCATGGTACATTATGTCACATACATTGCTTAATCCCTAGAGAAATGGAATTTTACCTGGGAGTTTATTTCCCATATGTTCAGTATACTGAAAATTGCTGCAACTCATTGTAGTCCATTTTAGTTCTTACTGTTCTGAATATCTCTATTTCATTAAAAGCTTGTGTGCCTCACTAATCTCTCAATTTCCAGACAATTTAGCAATATGTTGAGTAGCACCAGTCTCAGGAAGATTCACGTGAAACTTCACTGGTAGCCTCTCTCCATTGTGAAAGCTGGTCATCTATTCCTGCTTACTTTTTCCTGTCTTCTAACCAGTTATTAACCTGAAATGCATCATTCCCTGGAAATTTAGTTTCTTTAAAGCTTTTTTACTTGAGTTGTTGCTCCACTCATCCAAGTATTTGAAGAGCAGTGGCTAATTGTTTGCCAGAAACACTGGCAAACCTTGTTTGATCTTGATCTGTTAACAGCCTGGTAAGAGAGTGCTGTTTTGACACATTAATTTTATCTTCATAAATATGATTAAGATTGAGCGTTAAAGCACTGTTTTGTGAGGCACACTGGAAGGAAGGAAGAAACCTCAGCCTAGCCCATGTTATCAGGGTGGCAGAATGTCTGAGGTTTTTTGTTCTGGAAAATATTCAGGTGAAACATACTGTGAAAATAAACTTTAGAAGAGGCAAATGTTCACAAATGTCTTCTAGTAGCTACCATTTAAATTAATTTCCTGCCAATGGGGTCATTTAGGATAGAAGAGGATCAAAAGTAAAAGTAGTGTGAAATTTTACTAACAAATAGTCAAAGTTTTCCCAGCATCCCAGCACTTGAAGACTTCTTTCAAGTGAAGTCAACAGCACCCGGAG